TGGATAATAGACTGAAAATTTTAGCAAAGTGGATACAAGTTGCAAATCATATGTACCATGTTGTTGGCAATCTGTACAGTTTCGTTAGTATAATGAGCGCTCTGGATTCTAAACAGGTGATTTGCTTGTTAAAGCCTCACTTCCGCGAACATGTTGCATTCTTTTTAGATGATTATGGCTCAGTCATTATGGAATCGTCTCCGAACAACGTATACATCCCTAGCTGTAAACTATGAAACACAACTTCGAAGAATATTCCGCGGTGAGGCAGGCGTCGGCCTCCCTTGTCACACGATTTCCCTTCCAGATCTACTTCCCCTCGCGAAGCTGCTCGAAGTGAATAACGTCAAGTGCGGAGCACTTTGGGATGCAGACGATATGGACATTACATATGGCATAGGTGCGATTTCGTACTGTTTTATCGACGCTAGCAAATAACTTATGCACAATAATTTCAGAAAAATTCTGGTCCCTCTTAGAACAGTCCAGATTTTGGTGCAAACTTTTGAAAAAGTGGGAAAACAACTGCGATCTTATGCTGCGGTGCGGCATCGAGAAGTTACAGCCAATCGTATCAGAAATGTGCCGAACGGAATTTCAGTTGAAGCTTCTCTGGGGTAGCAAAGGTGCTGCGGTGAACTCTGAAGAACGGTACTTAAAATTCGACCAGTTACTGGATTTAATGGCTGAACGTTGTGAAATGCAATTTGCTACATTTAGTTAGCCAGGCGGCTCCCCGCTATACAGTGTTATTTATTACGTACATCTGTTTGCTCACTCGTGAATTCAGTGCCATTGTGGAAAGCTGCACTCACGAATCGAAAAATATTGGCTGTATCCCAAGTTTTGTTCGCCGTGAGGCAGCAGTCATAGTTCGGCCAACACTTATATCTAACCTTTCATGACTTGCCGTTCTATCCAATTACCAGATGGTTCTGAATCGAACCGGACGATACAAATGTCCACATACAGGTTGCTGTTACTGTTGAACCGCAAGCGGTATTATATGGGGAAACGATAATGTATCTTTGGTAGTGGCCTTTAGTGGAGCATGCCAAAGGAATTGTCATCGTTTCTGAAGGCGCCATAAATTCAGTGCACATAGAACTGTTCTGTTCTCCAAGAAGAAATATTTACTATCGGTCTTCTCAGATGATTTCGAAGGTTTTGTTTGTTCTACATTCTTTACTTGCTGATTAGATTAAATTTATTTTAATGATATTCATGGGGTTTTTTTGAGATTAATCTATCAATGTGCATGAAAAATAGCATAGACATTGATTCGTTCGAATTCAGATGGACTATTTTCATTAATTGACCCAGGATTAACACGCTTGCTGATCTCGAATATCCGGTAAAGCCTAAAGTGCAGTATTAAAAAAGTACTATCAGAAAAGATTAAATATTCTCTACCCTCAATACGGTTCATTTTTATCTCCGCTGTGTAACTTTTATATGTTGACACTGAGCACGTCTGAACAGTTCTGAACACAGCACATCTATTCATTGAGGTTCACTAAACATAATGGTGATCGTACTGATTTCTGCCATCAGAAATCATTCACAGTTGCATCCGCCTTTAACATGCGGTGGATGAAATGGCCCTGTGGCTGCAGAATAACCGTTGCATCGATAACTATACGGCATGCATGATCTGGGAATTAGTCACAATGCAGAATTTGAATGAATGCTCACATCGTTGAGCGCTATGGATGTGACTGACAGCACATCCATTAAAGTATATAGGGCTTGTTATCAACGAAGACCTAGACAAAGGCACACCATGTCATCTGAGTGTCAGTGAAAGTTCGCGAATCTTGAATATAATGAATGAATAGTTTACTGCTTGAAAGGGATCGCCAAAAAATATTTTTCAGCAAAAAACTAAAATACATGAGAATCATCAATATATCATCAGAGAGAAAACAGACTCACACGTGATGAAAAAGAATCTCAAACTGCGAAACAGAAATGATAGCGACAGACGTAAAGATTGTCACATGAAGCAAATTCAAATACTGTTGCTTAACGTTTATGAAATTTCGTAGAATGCGTGTTGACGCTGGGACCATAAATCTTCAACACAACTCTGTTGTGGAAAAATACTAACATGTTTAGATCCAGTGGATCAGGTTCTCAAAAGACATTGAGAGAGACTGCGGTGCAAGGGTGACTGCTATTCTCTAAGGGGTTCCTACCCATGTGAATGGCAAAGAGAATGCTAAATCAACCACATCTCAGTATGTCATTGTGTTAACGACCGCTTATTCTACAGATTTGTGTAAGTGATCGCCTTAGCATCTTGAAGTCGCATGACAACAGGCCTGGAAGGGCGACTGCTGATCCGCGTGTATACAGTGAGACAATAAATGCAAACATCCTTTATAATGGCATCATACGGTAAGAACTCCTTCGTTGCTGCCCCAAGCCCGAGTGACAAAAGTGAAGGATTGGAGGTCGTGGCGAAGTCTCCCTCAAACTTTAGCTACCTGCGCATCACGGTATTACCGTCATCCAAAATTATATCGGCTCGGTCGTCGCCCGTGCTACCAGGAGGCAAACTGCGAAAAGTCAGCGATCAGAATCTGCTCATCGCCCTGCCAGCGTGGGGCGTAGCAGCACAATAACGGCCGGAAAGACGACGAAGATACCAATCAGCATTGGAGTCGCTGCCCGTTCTGAACAGAGCAGGCAGAAAACGAGATGCCAATATAGCACGTTAGAAAAGGCTCCACGAGAACAACACCGACAGTGTAAGCGTACAGTCGGAAACCGGAATATATTCTCAATCAGAGAGAAAGAGCAGGAGTTAGCTGATGATGCCGCAAGTTACCAACTCGACATAGTTCGTCTTTCGGCAACAGAGTGCCAAGACTCTGGAATCCTGAACCACTGCGGGTGGAAGTTATTCTATTCAGATGTCGATACCACGATCTCAGGCTGGTCTTGGTGTTCTGGTAGAACCCAACCTTTCTGATAGAATCATTGAATGTAGACCTGACAGTGGAAAGGTGACAGTCCTCCGACTGAAGTTACAACCGGCTAAAGCGTTGACGCTGTTACAGGTCTATGCACCCAATTTGGAGGGAGAATATTATACCCTCCTTCACGAAGTGGAGTCTGCTCTGAACGAAGTGCCGACAACTCATTCTAATGCGCGATTTTAATGTGCAGGTCAGAACTCCAAAATACAAGAAGAGCAGTGTGGCTTCTGGCCCGGTCGAAGCACCTTTGACTATAAATTTGCCCTGCGCCAGATTGTTTAGAAATCGAGCGGGGTACACCCGTTCGGAGTACATGAGTTTTATTAACCTAAAAAGGCATGTGACCGGATCCCACGCAACAATCTGTAGTCATGCCTTTGTGCATACGGGATAGATAGCCAGCTGCTTAGGACCATACAGTCACTGCATTCTGATAACAGGTGCT